ACCCTCTGTGGAATTATTTCTGAATGTCTTATAAATTTCTAGATGTGGGATGATCAGATGGACATTTTTAACGTCCATTTCATGGACATTTTAAAGACTTTTGGTACATATTTTCAAATTGCCCCCCCCAAAAATTAAACCAATACACACTTCCATCAACAGCATGTTTCCTTGCATGCTAACCCACACTGAGTATTATAAATTTCATTATGATTTCTTTGCAATTTTCATAATTGAAAAACAGAACTTCCTTTTACTTATTACTTGATGTATATATTTTCTCTTGATGTGTGTACTCCATTTTTTCTTATCCATTTGTTAGACTTTTTAATATATTAAGGATATGAATTCTGGCTATCAAACACATTACAATCTTTTTCCAGTTTATCATTTACCTTTTCCTTATAATACTTTTGAACCTAGGGTAATTTTCACTTTTATATATTCCAATTTACCAAGATTTACTTTACGGTTTCTTCTATTGCCTATGTACTCTTTTGAAAATGTTTTTTGTTTGTATTGTTTTTTCCATTTACTTTAATTCATTTGTAAATAAATTTTGTTAGTCGTCCCAATGGAAAGATCAATTAAGGGTTAAAGCCTGTCGCTCTTATTGAGCAATCATGGGCTCTAAGCTCTTTACTTGCACTAATTGAATCAATCTTATAACAATCCCTTAAGGGAAGTTTGGTTGTTATCCCCATTTTTGCATGTGAGGGAACTAAGTTTGCTTAAGATCATTGAGCAATTAGGAGGCAGAGCCTGAGTTACAACCTGAGTCTAGGCTCTTGATCCCAAAGCCGTCCCACCTGTGGATAATGCATGTCAGAGTGGACTCAGGCCCACTTCCCTGTCCGGGCATGAATGGCGATCACATACGCACCTCACCCCTTTCTCCCCTGCTAGTTAGCAATCAGAAGACCTCATCTCTAGTCCTATGATGATTCTACTCACCAGACCTTTCCTCTCCTTTAATAAAACAGGGATTTAAGTTGCAGCCTATCTCGTAAGGCTTTAAGGAAAGAATGTTTCCAGCTGGACAGCCACCTCCCTGCAGAGAGCTCCCACCTGTGCTCTCTGAACACGTCACCATGTAGAAATTCTGTCACCGCAGAACTAAGAGACACAAAGCCTGACCTTTCTTTGCCAATTGTGTAACACAAGCCAAGGCCTCTGTCAACATCAGTGAGACTGAAAAACAGAAACTGATCCAGGCAGAAACAGGCATTCTTTTGGGGTTTTTAAATGCTAAACAAGCCAAAATCGAATTCTAGGGAAAGCAACATTCAGGAGAAGAAATCAGCCAAGGATAGGTAATATAAATTGACCTCTTTACCAAGTTTTTTCTATAGCAAAATTATGTTACCTATGTAAATAGAAATATTTTACAAAATCTGCAGAGGCTTCCCATGGAAACAATCCCAGCTACAGATGAAGCTTGTTGGTACCATCCAAATGCTCTCTGCAGCCCACTTTTACATCCATACTTCTACAGGAGAGTGTGGCTCCCGAATGCTGCGCCCACGCATGGACTTTTATTCATTCTGCCTGTTGTGGGGTCTGCATTCCTGCTAAGTCTCCAAACTGGGTGTGTTCCCTCTCTCTCTCCATCATAGGCCTGCTGTGGGCCAGGTCCCATGGGCAACACAGGGCCCACAGCAGCCTGTCCTTGCGGACTTGGATCAGTTGGAGGAATATGTGTGTAACCAAGTGGTGGGTTGCGTTAGGCTGCCTTACACACCTGGGGGTATCTACATAACCAGGACTTCTGAAAGTGTTGCACACTTGGGCTGTCACATACCTGGGATCTTCTCCTGGACCAGATCTCTCTGGCTTCTTTTTCTCTCAGAGTATGATGTACTCTAAATATTTTTTTACACTTAGAGTCCAAGGTCCAAATCACTTTTACGTATGAACCACTACTGTTTTCAACCCAGGAAAAATGCAAACCCTACTTTTAGCAATGCCTGAAGAAAATGCACTTAATATCCCCAGGATATTCTTTCATTTCCACCCAAAAAGTTTGTTGGCCTCTGTGGTAGGCTGAATAGTGCCCACCTCCCAAGATGTCTTGTCCTACTCCCCAGGGCCTGTGTGTGTCTTCTCTTACAAGGTATGAGAGACTTGGCAGATGTGCTTAAGGGTCATGAGACAAAGGGATTATCCTAGATTATGTGGGCGTGCCCAGTGTAATTGCAACAGTCCTTAACGAAGCAAGGTTGGAGAGGAGGTGTGCCAACCAAAGTCAGAGTGATGCAGCTGAGGAATGTGGGCAGCCTCTAGAAGCGAGAAAAGAGCAAGGAATGGCTTCTCCCCTGGCACCTCCAGAAGCAATGCAGCTCTGCTAACATCCCTGTAAGGCCTGTCTCTCTGGAACTGTAGGATAATAAATTTGTGTTGTTTTAAGTCATTAAGTTTGGTTATTTGTTAAGGAAGTAGTAGGAAACCAACACAGTCTCCAAACAGAGAGCAGCGAGAAGCCCTTCCTCATCCTCACAATGAGTCTGTTAGGCTAAGTAGCTGTAATGAACAAATACACTGAAGGACAAGTTATGGCCCCCAGCAGCCAGAGGGTCAAACAGCTCCCTCTGCGTGAGACTGCCCAGGATGGAATCTCTGCTCTATTTACTGGGTACTTATCGTCTAGAAAGTTATTTCACCCTTCTGTGTCTCAGCTGCCGTGTCGGTAAAACGAGGGATTATAAGGAATATGGTCCTTGGAACAGTATCTAGTATTTGAGGAGCACCCAATAAATGTCAGCTGTTACTGTTGCTCCTGCTTCAATCCTGGAATTTCAAACCAAACCAGATTCCCCACTGCTTCAGCCCAAATGGCCCAAAGACCTGAGCCAGCTAGCATTTGTCATGACTGTGCCATCTCTTGCCAGCTCCAAGTTCAGGGGTGTCATTTTGATAGCCTGAAAATTGGCCATCCTGGGAGTGTTTACGTCATAGAAGCCAGCAAACACTCCCAATCAGGGCTTAATTTTTTTCCCCCCAAAAGCTGATTTACTAGCACACCATGGCACAGACCACCCTTTTACCTGACTGAATTTTTTCCTCGCTTGTAGCACCAGGGTCATAGAAAACAGCAGCCTATGTTTATAAAATCAGAAGAACTTCTCTCCTCACTTAAAAAGATGTTTTATTTTCAAGTAAGACAACCACAACAATCAGCATCCTCACTCTCAGCTCTCCCATGTCTTTGGTACATGGGACCTGGCAACCACCGGAACGAAACTGAAGCCTAAAACAAGCCCATGGAGCAGTGAAAGGCAAGTAGCCGACCATCTCCCTCACCCCAAGGATTCTAACCACACGCTCAACCCCTTCACTCTGCAAGTCCTGCCTTCCTGCCCGTGCTTGCCTCAAATCTAGAGGGCCACTCACCTCTCAGATTCTTTGGTCATAACCTCATTAGAAAAAATCAACATACACAAAAGGGAAGGAGACACTGCATGCCACTGCAGCATGACCTTAAGAGTCTCAGTATTAAGGACTCGGTTGAAGAAACTGCCGATTCTTGGAAAATGATTCTCCAAGGGTCTCTCACATTCCTACACAACTGCCTTAGTTCCAGACTATCTTTTCAAAGATGTCTGTGAACAGTCTTGGATGGTAGAGACAGTGTCTCTCTCTGGAGCAAAAGTCAGGCAGGCTTATCACCCATCATAAAAGACTGTGGTTCACTAGGGTTGGGTTTCCTCTTGCAACGCAGGCCACTGCGTGTGCAGGTATCACCTGGCCCTCTTCATGGGGCCCTGCAGGAACCGGAGCTCAGGGAACAACTGCAAATGCTGATAAACTGAAATGCTACTGCTGTTGCTGTGAGTAATAAACTGTCCTTTGTCTCTGACTCAGGAGTCTCATAACTTCTGCCAGTGTAAGTGAACATAAGTGAGGCCATCTTGTTACACTAAATAACCCTTTCCTAGTTACAACCTTTCTAACATGTGATCATTATAAATTGCTGCAGGCTTTCAGAATTTTCCGGCCCTGATCCTGTGCATGTACCCCTGCTGAGATAAGAAGGCCTCCAGGAAGAACGAACACCTGTAGGAACAATGGGAGATCTGGAGCCTGTCACGTACATTTCTAAACCCCCTCCTTACTGCCCATTTTCCCTATATAACTGCCTCAAGATTCTGTAATCCTTGAAGATGGGTTTTTAGACATTAGTCAGCTGTCTTCTAATTAGCTGGCTAATCTAATCTAATTAAAACTTCCTTTCTTGATCCCTAACTCGTTGCGATTAATTGGCTCAGACCACAGTGAGCAGAGCAAGCCCACTGCTTGATATCACCAGGATCCATGAAACCATGGCATACTAGCTTATTTAGCTTACAAGTAGGGTAAACTCTGAAACCCTTCACAGTTTTGGTTTTTTTTTTAAGGTTTTATTTTTCCTTTTTCTCCCAAACCCTGCCTGGTACATAACTGTGTATATTTTTTTTAGTTGTGGGTCTTTCTAGTTGTGGCATGTGGGATGCCGCCTCAGCATGGCCGGACGAGCAGTGTCATGTCTATGCCCAGGATTCGAACCAGCGAAATCCTGGGCCGCCAAAGCAGAGAATGCGAACTTAACCACTCGGGCCCAGGTCTGCCCCCTCTTCACAGTTTTGTGGGGGGTTTTTTGTTTTTTTTGAGGAAGATTAGCCCTGAGCTAACATCTGTTGCCAATCCTCCTCTTTTTGCTGAGGAAGACAGGCCCTGAGCTAACATCCGTGCCCATCTTCCTCTACTTTATATGTGGGATGCCTACCACAGCATGGTGTAGCAAGCGGTGCCGTGTCTGCACCCAGGATCTGAACCAGCAAACCACGGGCCACCGAAGCGGAACGTGCACACTTAACCGCTGCGCCACCGGGCCAGCCCGTCCTTCACAGTTTTGACACTTTTGTGTTCCTTTAAGAATCCACAGCTATAAAAGACCAAATCCAATTAGCAAAAAGCACTGGCTGCTGACTCCACACACAGAAAAGACGACCCAGGAAACATCATTATGTTGGAGAGCACTTTAATGATCTACAAATTGATGCAGTTTTATTGTCATGATATTTTGAATTTTATAGTAACAGTAAAATTTTGAGTAATTTTATAGTAACAATATTTTGAAGAATTTTATAGTAACAGTAAAATTTGGAATAATTTCATAGTAACAATATTTTGAATAATTTTATAGTAAAAGAAGAGACAGAGGAATATAATTTCCCTGCACAGTGAAATTTTCATACACCATATGGAAATTTCCCACATCTGTCCAGTTCTGGCTCAGAATAATACATAGCTAATATATTTTACTCATTTTTTCTATTACTTTTAAAAGTTACTTCAAATAGTAACTGGGGAATTAGGACCTATTCCTGGCACAAAGGAGAGTACAAAGAATTTGGTTTCCTGGCAGACAGAGTTTTAACAAGCGCATCAAGCAACAACAGTTTGGGGGTCAAGCTGAGCACACATTCTTTGCAAGGGTACCAGCAACTATCACAGCTCTCTTTCGGGCACATGGGAAACGGCACACAAAAACAGCCGGGCAAAGACTGAATTCCAAATAATTCCCTCAAGTCCTAACATTTCTGTCTCTCCTTTTGTAAGTGTGACCTGAGCCCATGAAAACAAGGTGATGGCAACACTTGAAGGTGATCAGAACACCTTGCTTATCTCATTGGCCACCCAGGTCTCAATGACATCATCTCAGTGGACTCAGCTGAAACAAGTTTTCGCTCGAGCACTAACCACGGAGAAACGGAACCTGCTGCCATGTACAGGCAATGACCCAGACAGGACTAAATGCTCCTCCGTGTTAAGAGATGAAGCAATCACTCTACTCAATGACAGAGGGGGGAAGAACATGAGAGAGAGAGAGAGAATATCCTGATCTAGGAGGCCAAACTGGGTTACTGGCTTTTCTCAGACCACCCAGGCAGTTTCTGAATGGCCCTAGCTAGGGGGGGAAAAAAGACAAGAAAAAACTAAAGGGCAAAATGAGGCAAAGGAGAATGCTGGAGGCGGGCTTTGGGGTCTAGAATCAGGTCATAATTCTCCTCGTTGATCTAAAGTCCAAGAGCTGTCTAGAGAACTCAGGAAGGGCTATTTGCTTTACCTTTTAAGACAAACTTATTCATCCTGGTCTACCAGGTGCCTGTGTTTACCTTCTACGTGCCTATAAATACAACCTCATTACAGTTCTATTTTGCTAGAAACTTATAGAACATTTAAAATACCAGGTAGGTGGCCATCTCTTCATGGCTTTTCTGCATGGGCCCGAGGAGGAGAGAAACAAGTGGGGCAAGATTCCTACTCGGTGTCCTCTCCAGGGATGCTGATAAGACAAGTTGCTGCCCTGATTTCTAGAACGTCTGGAAATTCTCTTACGGCTCTTCTTCAACGATTTAAAATGCCATATTTGCAGAGCTATCTGAATCACTTCAATCAAGGCCACTTTAAAAATTTCATTTAAAAAATTAATCACAGACTGTTTAACTAATTAGTTACCCAACTTGCAAACAAGTCTCTGCCACTTCTGACAGTGGCTCCGAGGCAATTTCTTCACTCTGTTTTGACTTGGAAGTGGAGCGAAGGTGTGTCAGCAAGGCCAGAGACGTTCCTCAGTTGGCACAGGCAGGTTAAGACACACCGGCTGGCTTCATTTGCCCACCAGCCTTGCCAAAGCTGAGCTGAGCAGGTCGGTGGAAGGGAGAGGTATGACCCCAGGGTTCACTTTGCAGGCCCCATGCATTTACGAGTTTTCAGGAGGCCCAGCCCATGAAAAGGAACCAATGAAAGCACAGGGCCCGGGCTGAAGTGACATGTGGCCAAAGAATTCCAACAGAATGAATTTAATAGTAACGGAAAAGACAACCCATGGTGCCAATTCTGTGCTTCTTAAAGCAACTGCTACCAAATGAGTGAAAATAAGGCCTAGAAGTGGTGCCAAGAGCAGTGAAAAGTCTGTGCGTCCCATGTGCCTTTGGGCTCCACTGACCACCCTCTGTGGCACCAACACCCAGTCCCCTGGCTCTGGGTGTGGGGTGAGGGGGTGGAGAGCAGACGCCAGATGCATCTCCTGGCCTGGCTGGCAGTGGTGAGACAGCCCCACCCTCCTGTGACAAGGCCACGGGGCCCTCTCCACAGGCTGAGAGAGCAAATGCCAGCCAATCTTTTTTTTTCTTTCTTTTCTTTTACAGCTTCTTCTCATTGAAATACCAAGGGGTATTGACCTCTGGCCTCAGGAACGTGACATGCAGGGCAAATTCTGCCTCTTCAGTGGCCTTGAAATCTTGCCAGCGTGTGGCCCTCCCTTAGCCCTTGCCACGCCAGGGTGGCACTGTGCTGAAATGCATAAGGCTATAGCACCTCGTTTCAATCAGATCTATTCCCAGTTGCCCTTCAGTTAAGAATACAGTGGCCTGGCCTGCTGGAGTCTAGCCTGTGTGAAGCCAGAGATTCCTAACATAGCTAGGAAGGTATCTGAGTCCAGGGTGAGGGCCGAGCACCTCCTTAATCTGCCATGTGGTAAAGCTCTTATCTGTGAGGTATTTTGTGTGTGTGGAAGATTGAAAGCGGAGGAAAACAAAAAAAGAAAAAACAAACAAAAACATGTACCTTATACCGGTTTCCTCAAACATAATGCCTGTGCCAAGAACTGGGCAAGAGAGAAACCTGTGAAATGAATATCATAACTTACCCTGAGGCCCTCCCTCTCATGCTGGCCTAGAGACCTCACACACACAAAAACTATCCTCCTTTACCAAGCGCTGGCTCTCAGTCTGCGAGCAGGACTTCACACTGTTAAATAAGCGAAAACAGGCACAAGAGATGTCCCCCCATAGCATCTGGAGTCTTGCCTTTGCAGGAGGGACTCCAAAGTCACAGACTCTGGAGAGCTCCAGATAAAAAGCACAAACAAGGGGCCAGAAGAGCCTGGTGCCTGCACCAAGTTCTCGTCCCGAAGCACAATTTGCTAGGACAGGGCAAATCTCCATCGGGCCCCCAGCTGCCTGGAAGGGAGTGAAGATTTGCAGCGGCACACGGTACGCTGTCGGGGGACGAGCAGGAAACCCTGTCTCGCTTATTTCAAAACTTAGCTCTGGCTGAGCAAGTAAATTCTCCCTAAGATACAGAGCACATGTTAGGGCTTCCCTCTTGCAATAATGCAATTAAAATTTGCAGCCATTCTACAGAAAAATCGAAGCTCGACATGGGGGGGGGCGCAGTGTGTGTACATGTGCGTGTGTGTACATGCACCCGGGGCAGGAGGGGGTGTTTGGGTGCAGGGACTTTCCTAAGCGGAGGGAAAGGGTTGAATGTATTGGCAGCTGAAATCTCTCTTCACAGGATATTGTGAAATACATTCAACGCAAACCTTTCCCTCTGAAGCACGAACTGTTACCAGAGTGGACAGGAGGGTTCATTCAGGTACGCTGATGCAATCTCCTGTCACATGCCACACACTTGCTGGAGTGTCGTCCTGAGTAATCTGGTGAGGGTGTGGCAGCGGAGAAAGGCACTTGGAAAATACACACAGACAGGCAGGGTCCACCTCCCAGGTTAAAGGCCAGGGATCCCACGTGGATGTGCAGGAACTCGCCAGCCTACCCTCCTTCCCCTCTAGCCCAATTCCACCCCAGGGGCCACTGGAATTAACAGGCAGATTTCTCATCGTGCAACCCTGGCTTTTCATCCCCGCCGTGATGTCTGTGAGAGGCTCCGGCTAGAAGCGGTGCTGGTGAAGGGCTGTGGACGAGGGGCCTTTCTCCAGCCTCTTCACGTGGCAGGAGTGACAGAATAGGTGGTCCTCCAGTGGGTAGCAGCGGTGACCGTCTTCATCATTGAGCTCCAGCCCACAGTCCTGGGGTAAGGCAAAAATGTCCAGTGGTAGCAAAACAAAATAAATGGACTGCAAGACTGACACAGAGGCCACAGTCCCCACAACTAGCAGAAGGTGCTGTGTGATTCCATCCGGGTGGAAAATGCTGGTGCAGAAACACACAGCTCCTGCCCAGGGCGGGTCTGGACTGTGCTGTCCGACACGCAAGCCACATGTTGCTCTCGAGTACTTGAAATGGGGTGGATCAGAACTGGGATGTGATATCAGCGTAAACATACACCACATTTCCAAAACTTAGGACAAAAAAAGATGTAAAATATCTCATGAAAAACTTCTTAGATGACGTTGAAATAACATTTTTGATATATGGGTTGAGTGAAATATCACAAAAATGAATCTCACCTTTTTTTTTCTTACTTTTTTCATGTGGCTACAAAAGAAAACTTAAAATTACACATGCCTTGAATTTGTGGCTGTACGATTTCTATTGGACAGCACTCGTCTGGACTGTGAGGAGAGGCCTGTCAAGCAAGCGTTTCACCATTTTCTCCAGCACCTGGGGGACCACTGACAATAACTTCCACCTGTTTCTTCAGTGCTGGCAGTGGGATCAGCCTCACGCCACCACCTGCCGTTCACCCAATGCACAGCATCACAAAAGAAAGCTCCTCTCCTTCCACGGGTGAATCCACTTAATGCTGGCTGAAACTCCACAGGCACTTAAGTGTTTGCACTCTGCCCAAGGGCTGGTGAGGGGCTACCCCAGGCCTGCCTGACAGTCATGGGGCACCAGTGGCTCCTTCAGCCTGGGGTGTGACACAAGGACACAGCAGGGGCAAAAGGGCCCCCACCCACCTTCGCATCAACCAGAGACATGTCTGTCTCCAAGGTGGGTTTCTTCATGATTTCCAGGGCTCGGGTGAGAAAGGGGCTCTTGGCAGATAGAACAGCCTACAGGCTGGAAGGGAGGAGTCTCTTCCCCAAATCACACAGCTGCCTGACAATCTGGCCCCTAAACGGGACCTGAAGCTCCCCCTGCACATGACCCACCCAGCTCTGCAGTTTCAAGGAGAGCAGCTGTGACGGTTTCAGGCCTTGGCAGTACGAACGAGAAGATAGCAAAGCCTTTATACCCCAAACATCCTCTCTAACCTCCTCCCTAAGTCAGGCTTCACCCCATTTCCTCCATCAGCTCTGGAGGGCAGCCCCTTGCCCGAATCTTGTTGACCATCTCGTGCCCCAGTGAACCCAAGATGCTTTTCTCTGGGACTTCTACAGCGGGCTTCGGGGGCCTGGGCAGGGGGCCTACCTCGCAGTGGTAACACTCCACATGGTAGTCTCTGTCCATGGACACGACACGGATGGTCTCATCTGAGCCCTGGAGTGAAGGAAAGCAGAACAAAAGGCCAGTTGAGGGGCCCACCGGGCTCCACATGCTGTGGGGGTTGGGGGGGATTCTGAGGTAACAAGTAGGCGGCCTTAGGAGAGGAGCATAAATGAGCCGTGGCTATAACACTGGTAGGAAAAAGGACACAGTCAGCTGATGAGAGGAAGTGGGAGGGACAGCAGTCCTACCTTCTGGAATGTCAGTCAACACTGAAAAGAACACCTGCATGGATGGTTATTTTTTAAAAATTAATAAAAGGCAAGCTTTCTGCTTATCTTCTAACCTCAGAGTTAATATCAGAGTTTGACCTGATTATAGGGTCAAGGTCACAAGAATGACACTGGCCTAGGGATGCCGGCTAGTGAGAAAGGAGCTTCTTGGTGAGGACACTGTTTCTCTCAGAGTTGAGATTTTAGAAGGGTCTTTTTTAAAGGCGGAAGGGTAGGACACAGATCTTTCAGAGCCTCTTACCTCAGGAGGAAGGATGGGAAGGCCACAGGCGGCACACTTGGGGGCCAACACCCTGCGGGAGAAGCAAAGGAGCCGTCAAAGGCCGCTGTGGCTTTTCTGGAGGCAAGGCCCCGAACGAGACTTGTGTGGAAACCTGCACGGAGCCCTCCTCGCTGGCCCGGCCCTGCCTCCCGGCCAGGGCTCTTCGAGTGAATCCCTCCGGCCCTCGTGTAAAGATGAGCGTGGCTCCCTCTCTGGGACATGCTTCAGTATCGCTTCGAGACTGTTCCCCAGGGTAACAAGCACATTTGGCCGCCTCTCGCTCTCCTGGGGGAGAGGCTGACCAGTCTGTTTACTCCTTCACGGTGCCTAGGAGTGGCCCAGGCAAACCAAGGGTGGTGGAGACCAGCACCGCTGAATAGGCGCCTTTTGAAGTTGGGTAAAGCTGGAGCCACAGGGCTTGGCGGCTTAAGCCTGAGGTGTAGCTAGGAATCTGATTATAGGGTTTTTGTTCTGTTTTTTCAGTAAACGTGATTCTTTAACCAGTTCCTGCCTGCAGGGGCATCAACTAACCTCCCAAGGCCCCTGCTACACCCCTCAGTGTTAAGCTTTGCCGGACTGTGGACTAAGGCACGAGCAGCCTGCAGCCACCTCAGCAGGTTTCCATCTTCGACTCTGCTGAGAGCAGCGTGGCTTACACGTGTGGCTCCCCTCGGCTCCCATCCCTCCTTACTTGTGGTAATCTCGGACGCAGTAGATCTTGTTCTCTGAGTCCACGGTGAAGGGCACGCCGTCCAAACACTCGTTACAGATGACACAGCGGAAACAGCCAGGGTGGTAGGACTTCCCCAGGGCCTGTAGGATCTAGGGGCACAAAGGAAGAGGCCAGGACTCAGCGGGGATTATGGGAAGGAAGGGATGGTAGAAGAGAAAAACACATCAGACCGAGGGACCATATGAGCAACCAACCACACGGGGCCCACTCATCCCAATTTCACTTGGACCAAGGTCAAGATGACAGGGCGGGAAAGGATCATCTAGTTAGATGTACAAACAGGAGGAAGCCAAACAGGATCCTTCTTCTGTACTTCATAAACCTCCAGGAGGGAATTTAGAGGGCCCCCTATCAAAAGACTTTTACAGTTCTTTGCAGGAACAATTCAAAGCAGGGCCACGAAAGCATCCATCCCAGATTTGGGAAGCAGCAAGTACGTGGAAAGATTAAAGGAAATTCCACATGGAAATGGCAGAACTTGGAAAAAACCTCTTAACTTCTGCCTCCCAGGTGCCCCTTCTAAGCAGGTTTGACTCTGCAGCCTGATAATCCAGAAACCATGATTCGCCCCTGATTATCTCAAATCCGGTGTAAGCAAAGCCTCTTTGTTGTTGTTGTTGTTAAACACAATGAAGAGAAACCCCCAGAAACCTTCCTCTCAGCATCATCCGATCTGGATATGATACCTGGAACTGTAAAAGGCCATCCTGAAACCAGGACAGAGCCCAGACGAGGAGGGGAGGAGCGAGAAGAGATGGCAGGAACACCCTTGGTGATGTCAGTGAGGAACCAGATTAACTCACCATGGAGCTGCCTGCCTCCAAACCTCTTCTTAGGGCAGATAACACATTCTTCCTATTAAGTCAGTAGTACTCAAAGCGTGGTCCCTGGACCTGCAGCAACAGCATCACCTGGGAGCTCATCAGAAACACACACTCTCGGGCCTCACCTCAGATACAGTGAATCAGAAACTCAGGGGTGAGGCCCAGCAGTTGCTGTTTTCACAAAGTCGTTCCGGTGCAGGTTAAAGTTTGAACACCACTGGTTTGAGTTAAAATGAGTCTGGATTTTTCTATAATTTGCAGTTGAAAGGATCTGTGCTGACTCAACAGGAGATTCATTTCTGTAGTTACCTACGCCACGAAACAACACAAACAACTGAGCTGTGGAATCAACACCAGCAAGCCTGCACCCAAATATCCATCTGCAAGGAATGTACAGAATGGGCATCAGGATTCTGGAGTCGTGGCCACACAGAAAGCCTTCAAACAGGCAGAAGGAAGGGGACTCGGAACTGAGGAAACCCTTGTCAGCGCATTGTGAGACCTGTGAGAAAGACATGCCGTGTTCCGGCTCCTTCCAGCAACCTAGCGCTGCCTCCGAGGCCAACGCCACCCCTTGTGCGGGGCAGCCAAGGCATAAAGGGGGGAGTTTGTGCTATTCCAGCTTTCAAGCTTCCTCAATTCCCTCTGGGGTTTCACTAACCTTTGAGGACCCTATTAAGCTGCCAAATAGGAAGAATGACCGGTTGGGCTTCCAAAGTCCACTTGGAAATCTGGACCTTAGGAGGTATTTTGACCCATACTAATGCTGTCTTGGCAGAAGGAGATCCTTACATTAACTTAACCCACACTGTGCCAGAAGTGTGATAGGACAGATGCCATTTTGCTGCATTTTGACTAGCTGTAATTTTTTTTTGGAAGATTAGCCCTGAGCTAACATCTGTGCCTATCTTCCTCTACTTTATATGTGGGACGCCTACCACAGCATAGCTTGACAAGTGGTGTGTAGGTGTGTGCCAGGGATCCAAACCTGTGAACCCTGGGCCACCGAAGCAGAATGTGCGAACTTAACCGCTGCGCCACCGGGCTGGCCCCTGTAATTTTTCTTTATGTGGGAAAATGCCCAGTTCTAACTTTCAAGCCCAGAGTATCCTCCTTGATTAACAGAGCAGGGTACAGACAGACAATTCACACAAAGGGTTGGACAACTGGGGTTCTGTTGGAGAATCAAGGGCGATATCTGAAGGAGTCTTCCTCTGCATTATTTCAATTCCTGGCAGCAGTTAAGGGTTCTGTTTTAAACTGGGGGGTCTCTACTAGACAGATGTTCGCTAAAAGTTTTCAAGTCCTAGGGAAGACCTGTAAGAACCCAGGTTCAATCTCACGCTATCCCGTGTGCTAGAGATGGTCTCCAAAATACAACTCCTTCCGTTCCTGTACACACAGCCTGATCCCCGCTTCAACAAGTGGAGAGTATTTCCCCTCCCGCTGAAGCAGGACTGGACTTGTGGCTGTCTTTAATCAATCAAATGAAGAAGAAATGATGTTCTGAGATTTCTGAGTCAAGCACATAAGACTGGCAGCTTCCGCCTCCTCTCCCTTGCTATAAGGAAGCCCAAGCTAGACTACTGACTAAGACTGTCAGCCACAGGGAGGGAAGCCTGGAGGGTGAGAGGTCATCTTGGCTGTCCAACTGTGCCATTAGCTGAGCACAGCTGAGTAAGACACCCCAGTCAATGCCACACAGAGCAGAAGAACCGCCCTGCTGAGCTCTAGCTGAATTCCTGACCCATGGAATCATGATAAATAATAAACCACTGTGGTGTTAAACCACTAAGTTTTGGGGTGGTTTGTCATGCACCATAGATAAATGAAATACCCTGAGGCCCAAAGGCGGCTTAGGACACCCAGAAATAAGAAGAGCCTATAGTCATGTTCATAAAGTTGGACACTGCTGACCTCATATGTAGTGAGTTTTTCAGAAGGACTCTAAAATAAAGGGCAAATTCTTTTTTTTTTTTGAAGATTGGCACCTAAGCTAACATCTGTTGCCAATCTTCTTTTTTTTTCCCCTTCTTCTCCCCAAAGTCCCCCAGTACATAGTTGTATATTCTAGTTGTAGGACCTTCTGGTTGTGCTATGTGGGACACTGCCTCAGCATGGCTTGAGGAGTGATGCCATGTCCGTGCCCAGGATCCGAACCAGCGAAATCCTGGTCTGCCGAAGTGAAGTGTGCAAACTTAACCACTCGGCCACAGGGCCGGCCCCTCAAGGACAAATTCTGCTAAAGTCTGGCAGGCACTTGGGGAAGGTCAGGCTGAGGGTGTGTGGCTCCTACCTGCCTGGCCCCCATGGGAGGAATGGTGGAGGGCCATGTTCCCACTGAGGCATGAGCTACTAGCGAGGACACAGCTCTCTTGGGCTAAGCTCAGCTGTGCTATGTCAGAGTCAGCCGACCGCAGGTTCTCTCAGGAACAGGGTCGGCTCTGATCCACTGTTGTTTTATACACATTAGCATAAAGCCAGCAAAAAGGAGTGTTTATGTCCATCAAAGACATGCCTAAGAGTGTTCAAAGCAGCTTTATTCATAAATAGCCAAAAACTGGGAACCACTCAAATCCCCATCAGCAGAGAATGGATAAGCAAACTGCTATATCCATACAGCGAAATTCTACTTAGCAAGGAAAATAAATGAACTAGCAACACAGGCGACAACATGACGAATCTCAAAAACATTTTTCTAAGTGAGAAAAGACAGACCCACAGGAGTCTATACTGTGTGATTCCATTTATATGAAGTTCCGGGACCAGCAAAACGAATCTGGGGCAATAGAGGTCAGAATAGTGGGTACCTCTGACGGAGGGGGGCACTGTCTGAGAGGAGGATGAGAAGGAAATTTCTAGGGTGTGGGATGGAGGAGACGTTCTCCATCTTGATCTGGGTGGTGGTTACGTAGGTATATGCATATGCAACAATTCATTCAGCTGTACACTTAAGATGTACACCCTTTACTCTGAGTCGTTTCTCAATAAAAAGGTAAAAGGAAAAAAAAAATCAATGATTAGCAATTCCCTTCTCCAGAATGGAATTAATAGGTCAGCTTAGCGAGAGATTTAATAAGTCTTTCCAACTAAAAGAATGAAATACAATCATTTTCTCTCACTAGTATATTAAAGAAATTCTACGGGACCAATCTCCAATGGTGAACGATTTGATCCTGAGACAGAATAAAAACTCTGTATTCATTAACCTCCCCACCTTACTCTATAAGGAAGCCAGGCAGGAAGAACTGTCCCCACTGAGAGAGAAAGACACTGAGGCCCGAGACAAGCTTAGAGAGCCGGTGGCTGAGCGAGGGACAAAATGTATAAAACTTACTCCTTGCTCCACTGCCCCAAAACTCATCTTAGGACCAGACTGAGTGGGGCAGAACACAGGGAAAAACCACCGTGTTTACCTGACTTTCTGCACCCGACTCAAGGGAGCTGAGGTTTGTGCGGTGAAAACAGACTCCATTTGCCATCTCACCCGGGACACCACAAGGATCACAGAAAATTGGAGGGAGGCCAGTGTGATCCGGACAGCCCAGAGGAGAGAGCCACACGAGAAACACGACATTGCGTGGACCGGACGGTTAAGGATGCTAATACCAATAAAAGCCAACAACGTGTGTTCTACTAGAGCAGGCAAGCTGCGTTGCATAGGGTCTTCTTTTAATAAAGCCAGCTGTAGGCAAAAATCAAGGGAGGAAATAGCGCTCTCAATTATGAATTTCTTTTTTCTCTGAATGCTTCTCCCGCCCACCACACTATTGTCTTGGTCGGCTGACCCTACTCACCATGTCCATGATCAGATGTCCACAAAGAAAACACCTGTCCGCAGACTGCTGGAACCCAGAGTACTGCAGAGGAGAGAGCAGAGCAAGTCAGCCCTGGCGGGGCAGATGGATCCAGCCACCTCCCCGCCAGCCAAGAGGAGTTCAAGGCAGTTCTCAGAAAGATGTGTCACTCTGTATAGGAATCTGTCATTTCCCCAAGGACAACACAGCTGTGTGATGAATGACGGAATATCCTCTGTATTACAAACGCTAAGACCACTCGCCCTTACAACAGCTCCATCCAGGCACCCACAACACACCAGGTCCGTGTAAGAGGCTGTGCATGGAGACGCCTTCATCTCGAAATCAGCGGTTCTCAAGGAGGAGTTCCCTGGCACCCCCTGAGAACTTGTTAGAAATGCAAAGTCTTGGGCTCCACCCTACACCTACCAAACTGAAAACTCAGTGGGTGGGACCTGGCAACTGTTTTCACAAGCCCATCAGGAAGTCCGAGGGATGCTCATGTTTGAGACCACTGATCTCATCCTTAAAACAATTCTGCAAGGTATATACTGTACCATTTCTCAGTGGAAGCAAAGAGAAGCTCAGAGAGGTTAAGTGAACTTCTCAAGGTCACACAGTCTATAAGAGGTAAGGATAGCATTCAAATTCAAGTCTGATTCTGGTTAAAAAGCCAATGGCTTTTATAGTTAGCTTTGAGAAACTCAATAAATCTGATCTTCCTTACCTTACCAAAACACACACACACAGCTGGAGTCTTGAAAGAGATGAAGAACTCACCTCAGAAAATACACTAGATACTATGCACTGGAAGATACTAGAAGCTTAGATATTGCAAACACTTAATGGGGGAAAATGGAAAGGAAGGAAGGGAAAAAGAAAAAGGGAAACTTTCTGCCACTCTACACCAGGTAATGTAGTGGAGGTTTCTGCTGCCCGGGCCCCCTCCCCATTCTAGGGGTAGCAGACATCCCACACCCACCTTAGGGTCCCCAGTGATTCCCGGGGCTGACCCCATGCTGTGTCCCAAGGAGGGCACTGATGCAGACCTGGCCAATCAGAGCCTCGCGTTCCTCCAGCACCAATGATTTTGCCCGAGGACGGGCACGTGACCCAGTGAGAACCGGTGAGACTGCAGGACCATGACAGGCACTCAGGCCTTCTGACTTGGAACAGAGAATGTCGACTCTGGAGTACTGCCACCATGTGGCCCTCAGGAGGCCTGAGACAAGCCAACAGGCAAGAGCCGGGGCCACAGACTGAAGAGAAAATGACTCAGGGCGCAGCGCTGGAATGCGTTTCCTTTTTACTAAGCCAGGTTGGGTTTGCTGGTGTGTTACTGGCAAACACGAGCCATAATGAATCAACCCTCACATTCACAAAGAAGCTGGGCCTGAGCCATGTCCGGGTCTCAGCTCCTGATCCCTGAATGCAGGGTCGGTTCAGCTACACTCACCGAGCAGCACTGTGCTTGGTGATGTGCTAGGATCTGAAGATGTAAAGGGGAAGGGGCGCATTCCTGCCTCCCCAGGAGCTTACGGTCAAGTAGGGGAAAGACTTGTAAAGGGACGCGATGCAGGGCGCTCACTGCTCCACCAGGGCAACCCTGGCCAGCACAGATGGGGATGCTCCACTGTAGGGGCAGGGGGACAGGCAGGCTGTCGAAGCTGCCGGGGCAAAGGAAGGGTGAAGACGTTCCAAGCAGGGGAAATGGCACAAGCAGAGGCATGAAGGTATGAGGCTGTGCGGCGTGCAGAGAAGGGCAAGCAGCAGAGTAAGCGAGACACGAGGCCAGGGAGCAGGCAGCTCCGGACCGCAGAGCTTCTGCCCATGCTCAAACCCTGGAGACGTGGGGCCTAGGCAGGCCGCTTGCTACCACACACACAGAGTGGAGGAGGCCCTTAGGCTAGCTGGGCTGAGCCACGGTGACTGTGAGCTAAGCAGGCCCAGGGAGGACAGAGTGGCACAGGGCTCAATGTTAGCCTCATTCTGGGAGAGACGAGAAGGAGGAGGGGTAGAGGACGACCCTGGGAGACTGTTCTCAGAGATAAGGAGCCAGGCAGGGTGATGTTTCAGCTTCAGACAAGTGAAGTGTGAAGGGACAGCCCAGGGGACTGTCCAGTGGGCAGTGAGATGTCAGCAGCTGGCCTCAGGGGTATTGCTGGGGCTGGAGCTCAGATCTGGGCATCAGTGGCACACGGATGGACTTTCGACATGTGGAGAGGCTGCAGTCACATGGAGAGCAGGCGGGATGAGAAGAGGAGGGCCCCATCCCAGTGCAGAGGTTCAGGGATGTGGAGTAGGCAGAAATGGGCGAAACAACAAGAGGACAGGCCAAGTGACCCCAAAGTCCCTTCAAAGCACAGAGCTCTGCAGTTTGTCATTTGCCTCGGGAACATGGGCCACCCCAGCCATCTACAGAAGGGAAGTCAGACCTCTTTCTCCATCAGTGCAGCTTTCCAACGGCGCTGGGCATCATGGGGAGAACCCACCCCTTCTGCCCAGCCCGGACCCTCCACATGCTCCCCACTGACTCTGGTCAGGACGGGGCGGGGGACCCTTGGGTGACAAACTCACCAGGAAGTCTTCCTCACAAAACACTTTGCCATTGACAAAATAAAAGGCTTTTCCTCTCAGCTTCCGGCCTAAGGAGGAAACACAAGGGCAGGGTAGAAAGAAAATGTTAATATGCAGTGAAGAGAGGGAGAAAAGAAAGGAAAAATCTTTTAAAGCAGAAATAAACATGCAGAAAATGCCAGCTGTCGATAACCATTTCTGGTTACTGCAGCCACTGTGGCCCTTGGCAATGGGTGGGCAGAAGGCAAAACACAGGGTCCCCTGGTGGGTGCTCCTTGGCAGGAAGACCCAGGGCTGACCTGGGAATCATCCTGCGTCCACTTCTCGCGCTTCCTCTCTGCTGAGAAAGAAGCCAGCGAGACACGTGGTGACAGGACGGCAGGGGCACACACAAGTAGGGGTACCGGGCAACAGTCTCTGGTGAAGCTGCTGTTTCCCACAGCCATTTAAGACCATCACCTTTGAAATGTTCACCCAAGGACACTGGTGACAACCTATCAGAAAAATCCTATAAGCTGGTCAACTCTTATTTTCCTCATTTTCATGTCTTTTTTCATCTAAACTACTGAAAACATACATTGTTGGAAAGATGATTTTTCCTGTTTTCCCTTGATCTAAATGGGATGGGCAGGAAAGAAAAAAATTCAAAACACTCTGCCTCCTTCAAGACGTAACTTTAGTTTCCATAGAGGTAGGACACTGACAAGAATAACATACTTTGTCAACTGCTTTGATCTCTTATGACAAAACACAGTGGGGCCATGTGTTTAAGGTAAGCGGGAGCATCAATACCACAGACCCCGGAGACTCAGCGCTTCCCAGATCTGAGAGCATTTGCAGGGCCAGGCACAAAACATATGTGACAGACTCCGTGGGAGTTTCGAAAACTGAATGAATTCTAAACACTAGTGGAATCAAACCCCTTGGGGCTAGGGTCCACAGGAAACCAAAATCACCAACGTCGCAAACATTAACAGTGCACAAGACACACAGAAACCCCCTCAGCAACACTGCGTGCCCTCAGCCTGTGACTTCCCAGAGCAGGCAAAGAGCACAGGGCGACGGAGAAGAAACTGGCGATACAGATGTGTTGGAGCTCAGAAAGGGATCTGAAAGCATTGATGCAGAGGAAAAGCCACAAAAGGGGAAGTAAATTTAACTTCAAAAAGCAAAAACCTCCAGACGGATTAAAGACCCCAGCGTGAAAAACAAACACTATTATAAGAAAATACACACAGCTGTCTTTGACGTTGGCATGGAAAAGGATTTCTTAGGTAAGACATCAAAAGCACATCTTATAATGGTAAAGACGTAACTAGGACATCAAAAATCTAAACTTCTGTACAACACAAAATAACAAACACAAAGTTTAAAAGACAAAATCGTTGAAAAGCCAAACTGCTCAACAGCAAGGAGGAAGGAGGGTCAGAGGCCGGCGGACGTGAGGCCACGTGGGGAGAACACGGGGAGGAGCAGAGAGGAGTGCACCTCTGGCCATGGGCTGCAGACATGGAGGCTGAGGTGTGGAAAGGAGGGGCTGACCACCACTGTCCTGCCTCTGTGCCCCACCCATCAGCAAGGCCCCCCTCCTGGCCTGGTCAGACCCTTCTTTGTGTGGTGTTAGTTGCTGCCAGATTCGCTGTCATCGCAATGTCTCCCCAGCCCTCGGATTGGTTCCTACAGAACTTTTTAATACTCTGAGTATATGCTACATTCCTTGAGGATGTAACTGCAATTTCCACTCGGCTTCATACTAGGAGGGCTTGGCAATGGTCTAAATGAGGGCCATGAATGCTAAGTTGAAGAAATAAAAGGAAAGGTGAACCAGGGATCAGAGATGGCTGCAACACATAAAACAAGGTGCCAGTATCCAAAACATACAAAGAACACCAACAATTGTAGGAAAAAGACAAGTAATCCAGTGGAAAAAATGAGCCAAGAATAGGAAGGGAAGGTGCAGAGAAGAGAAAACCTGTTAAACTCTAGGCAATAACCATTCAAAAAGATGTTCAATCCCACCAGCAATCCAGATCTGCAAATTAAAACCACAATGAGATGCTATCTCATTCCCAGATGGGCAAAACTCATGGAGCCTGACACCCAACCCGTGTCCTGGTGCAGGTGTGGGACAAGAGGAACGCTTTCACACTGCTGGTGGGACTGTCGATTGGCACGACCACTTTGGGAAGAATTTTTCAAGAGCCCATAAAGCTGAAAATTCACATTACTCACAACGCACTCCCAGAGACGCCCCTTGAGAAGAGACCTCCCAACGCACAGAGGGAGGTGCACATACAGATGCTCCCTGCAGCACTGAAATGAAACCTAGAAACCCAGACGCATCTGCAATCTTCACCAATAGAAAAAAACTGATCAGTATGTTGAGGAAGAATGTGGACTATACTTAATAGATGTGATACTATACAGCAACCAAAATGAATGAACTAGATCTGAACATATTATGAACCGAACTAAACATACTCGTGCAAATAAGGAAAATAGCTCAAGGATGCATTAATATGAGAGAGAGTACATATGTAAGTTAAAGCAAGCACACATACATACACACACAAACTAGTACTATTTACTGTTTATTGATACTTGTATATGCGGTAGTAGTATAAAAGCTGGGACTGGAAGGATCCAGACACTCAATTCATGAGAGCAGCTGCCCTGGGAAGGGGGAAATGACACAAGCAGGGGAACCAAGATGACTCCAATTTATCTGTAATAGTCTACTTCCCTTATTAAAAATAAACCAAAATGACAACATATAAATGTTTGTGCATTCTGGGTAGCAGGTAAATAAGGATTATTTCCTAAGTAGTTTCTTGTAGTTTTGTTGTTTTTTTTTAAGATTGGCACCTAAGCTAATATCTGTTGCCAATTGGTTTTTTTCCTTCTTCTTCTTCTCCCGAAAGCCCCCCAGTACATAGTTGTACATTGTAGTTGTGGGTCCTTCTGGTTGTGCTCTGTGGGACGCCACCTCAGCATGGCTTGATGAGCTGTGTTAGGTCCATGCCCAGGATTCAAACCGGTGATACCCTGGGCCGCCAAAGCAGAGCGTGAACTTAACCACTCAGCCATGGGGCCGGCCTCTCTCACGATTTTTTTTTACATTGCAAATTAAAAGAACATACCATGCTTTGTCTATCCAACTGGCAAAGGGCAAAAGGAATAGCACTCAGTTTTAGTAACAACACTGACAGACAGACACGCTCCACCCTGCAGGGACAGTAGACACTAAAACAAGCTTTTAAGAGAAAACTTGATATTAAATATCAACAGAATTTCGGGGCCGGCTCCGTGGCCAAGTGGTTAAGTTCGCGCGCTCCACTGCGGCAGCCCAGGGTTTGGATCCTGGGCGTGGACATGGCACCATTCATCAGGCCACGTTGAGGCTGTGTCCCACATCCCAAAACTAGAAGGACCTGCAACTAAGATATACAACTGTGTACGGGGAGGGGGGATGGGGGGTGGGACGGGGGGGGGGGGGGGGGGGGTTGGGGTGATAAAGCAGAAAAAAAAAAAGATTGGCAACAGTTGTTAGCCCAGGTGCCAATCTTTAAGAAAAAAAAAAAAATCAACAGAATTTAGAAAGTTCAGATTACTTTAACCCAAAAATCCCACTGCAGAAATTTATCCTAGGGAAATAATCAGAGTCAGACTGTTGGAAGGATTTTCATCTCAGCATCATTTATAATACCTTACAAAAAATAAGCATCAACCAAATGTCTAATTCTTATCAAATAAGTTATGGCATATGTACTATTATGCAGCCATAAAAAAAGACTGAGTATAGGAAATTGATGATTTTTGATTAGTTTTTTTCCTACAATGACTATATTATTTTTATAGCCTGAAACAAATTTTAAGGAGTGAGGGAGTATTAAAGTATGCTAGAAGGCAACAAGTCTTTAGCTCTCCAAACCTTCTCTCCCGTCCCTCCTTCAAAGTTAGTTACCCTCTCTTCTAGAAGGGTCCCATTCTAGAATCTTGACAAGCATTTCCTGATTCTGCTACACTACGGTAACAAGAATGAGCGCCTACAGCTGCATGATTTCAGGGTTCACTAACAGAACCCCCTGGCAGCACGGAAGTTAATTTTAATTACTTTACTTATAACTTTCCCCTCTATAAAAAGATTCCAGAGGACTCAAAGGTTTAGAAAGGAGAAGGAGAACCAACTGAGCATCCTTGCCACCTGCTGTCCCCACCACGCACCAGAGTGAGAGCTGATCTGCCACCTCCAGTCCCTCCCCAGCAGCCAAGGTGACAAGGACACAGACAGCCCACCCTAGCAGGAGCTGCCCAGCCATAAAGGAAAACAATCCCCACATAGTCTGACCGCAAATGAAGCCCAGGTCCAGCCCCGTCTGTGGAGCTCCCTTTGCGGCTCCCTTCTGGGATTTCCCACAGGGGCGAATCGGGCTCTGATGAGAGGAAAGGAGGGGAGGCTGCAGCTGCTGACGAGGCCACTAGAGGGAGCAAGGAAGCCGTCTGGACCCGGCACAGGACTTCCTAGAGAGAGAGGAAGCTTCTGACCCCATGCGTGGGGAACACCCAGCTCTGGATCCTGGAATGGGGTCCAGGGAGTTCTAAGGCATCTGAGTGGGAATTAATTTTTTGTTCTCATCTCTGTTCCAAAAATCATAGAGGAAGATCACTAAACATGCCAACGCATTGAACTGTTAGTATTCTAACAAACACAAATTAAGCAAGAGTTTTTCACTTCAGATATCAACCAAGATTTTTTAAATGATCACATTCGTTTGTGATTGCTGTCACTGCATAATTCTGTAAGCTACTGACATGAGTGCAAAATGATAAACTCTCCCTAGAGAGGAAACTTGAAAATGTTTCTCTCTGATTTACCGGGGTTGTCTGAGACTTAGCTGAGGGAAAGATTCAGAAATGCGAATAAATGTTTACTCAGACCCAAACTGACAGCCTCAGAGAAATGGTCACATAAACACAGTACATCTCAATGATGAAATATTATGGAGCCATTTAAAATGCCATGCAAGCGTTTTAGTGATATTGGAAAATGTTTATACTATCGAAGGAT